GCCCACCCGCCCATGGTTACTTGAGTATCTTGCTGTTGACGACTGATGATGACCCTTGCAAAACAATCCGGTTGCATTGCACAGAGAACCCTAATTTATGTAGACCAATATCTATATGTTTTTTATCTAATGTCTTTTGCAATACCTACTTTTGTGTTTAAAAGATGATATATGTTTTTCTTATGTCAAGAGTATGAAAGATTTATTTCTTTGCCTGCTTTTACTTAAATTAAAGAAAAGAAGTGTGCAAATTGGCCTCGACGTCTTTCAAAGTGAAAAAAAAAATGTGTTAGAAATAGAACCCCCCTTCCTCTTAATTCTGCATACTCTTCTTGTCTTTTTCTATTTGTTGTTGTTGTTGATAAAGGAATGTGCATTAATATCAGTACTGCACCCGAATGTGAGGCGTAGGGTCTCTCGATGGAGCAATTGGGATACAGCCAGTCCAGCTTTTCTCTTTTTCTGTGAATTAAGAAACCCCTTTTTCAAATTTTAGTAGAGATCATCAATATTGTGGAGATCTTGAGAGGGGTAGCAAATGAGGGATCTTTAAATCTGCAAGGTGGAGAAACTTACAAGAGTGACCTCAACAACTACTCACCGTTTTTTTATCCGTTTGATTATTGCTCCTTCATCATTCTTCATTTGCAAGCGATCCAGTAGGGGGTTTAATGCATTGAATGCTAGGGTGTTAAAAAGGTAAATCAAACCATACACAAGGACAAAGAGGCTGAAGAGTACGAAAAAAATAAATTTTTTTTTTTTTTTTGACAGAAATGGAATAGAGCACTGCTCTGCTTAGCAAATTATCTATCAAATTTTGTATTTTAGGTCGGTTGAATTAGTTAACTCTTATCACATCAATATAGGATATGACGGGTTCGCAATTTTTTTTTATCAAATTTTTAATCTCCAAGTAATGTGATACAATGATAGTCATTCATAGTTGGAGAAAGTTTGAAAGACTTATTGATCTTATGGTTTACATTGATTTAAAATTCAAAATTTGATAAAAAATTTGGTAAATGTAACATTGTTGTAATGTTATTATGGTCTAAAAGATTAACTTATGTTATTAATATGATATTATGACAAGTGATACAATTTTAATGAACAAACTTAATGGTTATATTACAATAATATTATTAAATTATCATATAATTAAATTAATAAATTAAATTAAATTTTTAAATACACAGTAACATTACTTTCTAAAGATAGGCTCCATATATATAGCTGGAGCCGCAATGGAGATTCCATAAACAGAGGGAGAACCTCAAATACAAGTCTAAGGTACACAAAATCCAAACTCCATTTTAACTTTGGGCCCTGATTTTCAAAACCTCGATCCATTGTTGAATTCAAGTTCTGATACTTGTTCTTTATTGTTAGCATAAATGTAACACAAATTCCCTGAGTTTCTCATAATTGCACCGACACTTGACCGTGAGACCAACCTTCAAATGATCCTTCAATGATGTGCTTTAGAATAAAGTAATTGAAAATATCCAATATTTTTATTTAAATGGATTTTTGATTACTCTGTAGTCAATTTTCATACCGGACTTCATCTTCATCTTCATCTTTATCTTCGTCTTCGTACAATTCAAGGCGAGAGAGAATGATTGTATGGTGGTGGTATTGTGGTTTTTTTACAAGTTGTGTTTTGATTCGAAAACCACAAAATTAACAAATAATTTAAAAAGACATACAAGGGGAGCGTCTAATATCCACAATTCCGGAGAAAGGAAAACCCAAATCCAAAAGTACACACTTTCCGGAATCGTCCCTCTCTCTCTCCAGGTATTTGGTTCTTTTTCTCCCTTCTTCTTCAACTTCTCCTCACCAACTATCTTTTGGTATTCGGTTCTTTTATTTTCCTGTAATCGGCATCTCCAAATATGGGATAAAGCTGCCTACCACTTACTCTCACAACCCCTACTGTAGGCGAGAATCTTATGCACTGAGGATCACCTGTTTTGTTGGAAGTGGTTAATTTTAGATTTTGGTAGGTGGTGGCATTATGCTAGCTAACACTTCAATAGCAGAATATTGGCATTTCTGAGTTCCTTTCTCTGCTATTTTTGCTATATGGCAGCATACTGATAAGTTGTTTTGTTTAATAACTTGAACTTTCCAGGGTGACATTTCCTTCAATCTCAAGTGAAGTTCCTTTTGATTTCATTCTTACGTTATTATTTGATTGCCGGTTCATGAAGGGAATTATTTAGTTAGAACGTATCGTTTTGCAGGTTTCATTATCCAGCACTAATCCTTGTATGGTAATGCTTAGATTTCATACATGAAAAGAAATGTTTAAAAAGATTAACCAAGTAACTGCTTGATGAGCGTCTAGGAGATTATCTTCATGTCTTGAGTCTGAAGGAACATACATATTGATTAGGTGTAGGAAGAGTAACTAGAGATAGAAGATTTAGTTGCACAAGTGAAACCTTTTCATTTTGCATGAGTGTCTTGTATAATGTATTGTTTAGCAAACTTTTGAAACGCTTGTGTAAGTATTACCATGCATACAATTAACTCAAAATCAGACACATTATTTTTAAATTGTTGTGGCACTTTGCAATGGGGTTTCAGTATTATTTACCTGCTAATTTCCCACGAATTGTAGGTATGTTTTAAGTGTTTGTTAATTGTTACTCTGGTCAAGTGCTGCCGTCACACAATATTTCTTTACTATTTACTAGCAAAGGACTCAGTGGAGACGGATTCATTGCATTTGGTTTTCTCTTGTAGTTTTTGCTACAAATTTCCTTTTTAGAGTAGGGTCTTAGAAAATATCGCGTGTTTAATAGTCCTATAAGTAGAAACCACTTTAATGTTTGGAATTTTTAAAATTACTTGAGGTGGTATGTGAAATGGAATGAGTTTGTCTCAAGTTCTTTTTGGAGTTTGGAGAACAAATATAATCCAATCAACCTTGTGAATTTGGTTGTATGGCCTGTATTATGTTTAGTGAAAATGCTTGAACAAGGCTCAATCACCTTATTTAGGTGATGTTTTTAATGGCAGCAATTATGTGGGCACTGTTTTCCTGGTTTTTCTCTTATGCCTGATTTGGAGACACGGTTTCCAAATTGGGGTGGAGAAGAGGAAAGAACAAAGGATGAAACAACATTGAAGTGTGCTTGTTTTGAAATATGATTGTACTCGATTCAAATCCCAAGGAAGACATAAATGAATTTTATTTAGATCTCTTTAGTTTTTATGTGGTTCATGGTATTGCTTATTCACTTAGTGGGCTACTAGTGTGCATTGACTTGTACCTGCGTAATGTGGGTTTTGATTAATTGATTTATTGTTTCTAGTAGTTAGATAAGTCCGCCTGCGGTCTTAGTATTAGTAATTGCTTTTGTTATTTTTCATTACTTTCAATTAGGTATCTGTTGCTCTAATTTCAAGGACTCCTGCAATGTAAAGACACGCGGAAAAAAAAAATGAAGCATTATGAGGATAGCTGCAATTAACCTGAAAACTGACTGCCAATGGGATTTAACTGCTTCATATTGTGTTTTAGGATCCATTTATTGGGGTTGACATGATTGTGAACTAACAGAGTACGTTTTCATTCATCAAATGGAGAACACAACACTCATTCTGTGTTACAATTTACATTGAAACCTTTTAGTTTATGGGCTGTGTTTTGTAATGCAGGAGTTCAATCTAGTTTACTCTTTTGAAATGGAGAATAGACAAGATTTAGATATTGATGATGGCTTTAGTGAAATTCACAAGGAATATACTGGCCTTCCTGTATCTAATGCCACCAATGTAAAAGACACAGCAAAAACAAACAAAAGGTCTCATGCAGGTTCTAATGAGGAAGAGTAATTGCGTGATGCTAATGCTGTCCTAACTGATTTTACTAGCCGAGAAGCTAAGGTTTGGGAGGCTAAATCTAAAGCTACTTTACACAGGTATGTTTGGATCTATTGAAATGCTTTCTCTACCAGTGTCATCATATCATCTTTTGATTTTTCTATTTGTTCATTTCAGAAGCTCTTTTGTCTTGCGCGGAGGCAAAAAGGGAAACATCTATATTTTGTTGGCGCGGCAGGAGTTGAAGAGTAGTATTACTTGGCTTCCGGTCACTAGGGGTTTACGTGATTTGTAGCAGACTGGCTGAACCCATGTTGAGATGATTCATTAATTGATGATAGCTTATTGGGACTTGGTTTCAGAGTTGTTTGTTAGTGGTGGGGTGAATATCAAAGTGCCAATGCGGTGCCTGTCGATTTGTAAGTAATTTTCATTGTTGGACAATTCACCTTTTTCAACATTTAGATAAGATAGGAAAATTGGATTTGGAGTTCGAACTTTACTTATTTTCAGAAACTCATTATCACACATTTTGCTTTATCTTGGTCTCGGGGTTTGACATTTCAATATAATTCCCTAGAGTAATCATTATGTCTTTTCTTGTAAGGAATCATCGTACATATTTTTTTCTGCAAGATTTATGCTATGTAGTGAAAATTACAGAAGCTAGTTTGTAATGATAGTTTAAACTTTCTCNTTGTACCTGCGTAATGTGGGTTTTGATTAATTGATTTATTGTTTCTAGTAGTTAGATAAGTCCGCCTGCGGTCTTAGTATTAGTAATTGCTTTTGTTATTTTTCATTACTTTCAATTAGGTATCTGTTGCTCTAATTTCAAGGACTCCTGCAATGTAAAGACACGCGGAAAAAAAAAATGAAGCATTATGAGGATAGCTGCAATTAACCTGAAAACTGACTGCCAATGGGATTTAACTGCTTCATATTGTGTTTTAGGATCCATTTATTGGGGTTGACATGATTGTGAACTAACAGAGTACGTTTTCATTCATCAAATGGAGAACACAACACTCATTCTGTGTTACAATTTACATTGAAACCTTTTAGTTTATGGGCTGTGTTTTGTAATGCAGGAGTTCAATCTAGTTTACTCTTTTGAAATGGAGAATAGACAAGATTTAGATATTGATGATGGCTTTAGTGAAATTCACAAGGAATATACTGGCCTTCCTGTATCTAATGCCACCAATGTAAAAGACACAGCAAAAACAAACAAAAGGTCTCATGCAGGTTCTAATGAGGAAGAGTAATTGCGTGATGCTAATGCTGTCCTAACTGATTTTACTAGCCGAGAAGCTAAGGTTTGGGAGGCTAAATCTAAAGCTACTTTACACAGGTATGTTTGGATCTATTGAAATGCTTTCTCTACCAGTGTCATCATATCATCTTTTGATTTTTCTATTTGTTCATTTCAGAAGCTCTTTTGTCTTGCGCGGAGGCAAAAAGGGAAACATCTATATTTTGTTGGCGCGGCAGGAGTTGAAGAGTAGTATTACTTGGCTTCCGGTCACTAGGGGTTTACGTGATTTGTAGCAGACTGGCTGAACCCATGTTGAGATGATTCATTAATTGATGATAGCTTATTGGGACTTGGTTTCAGAGTTGTTTGTTAGTGGTGGGGTGAATATCAAAGTGCCAATGCGGTGCCTGTCGATTTGTAAGTAATTTTCATTGTTGGACAATTCACCTTTTTCAACATTTAGATAAGATAGGAAAATTGGATTTGGAGTTCGAACTTTACTTATTTTCAGAAACTCATTATCACACATTTTGCTTTATCTTGGTCTCGGGGTTTGACATTTCAATATAATTCCCTAGAGTAATCATTATGTCTTTTCTTGTAAGGAATCATCGTACATATTTTTTTCTGCAAGATTTATGCTATGTAGTGAAAATTACAGAAGCTAGTTTGTAATGATAGTTTAAACTTTCTCATAAGATTGTTATGTTTATAAAATGTCATTTTCAACAAAGTTGTATTTTGTGTTTGTATCATCATGTAAAGGATATGGTTTCTTGTTTTCGTTTTTGCTCTGTTCTTGCTTTGCTTAGGCCTTGGTTGTATCATCTAGATGCTTCCTTCTGATTTCTTTTGGATCTGGGATTCAGGTTATATGAGTGAAAGGGATAATTTTACAGGAAAAATTTGCTTGTTATTTTTTTCTCTAAAGTAATTAGACTGAAGTACTCTTTATAGGGTTATTAGCGCTGGGAGGGATTAAATAGGCAGAGACCAAACTTTTGGTGATAATTGCAGAAAGCTAATGTCCTCATATTCGAACCCACTATCTCAGCATATGTTTACTACTTTATTACTTGGACCGTATAGTTGACGAGCTCTATCATGGATTTAAAAATTCTTTCCATGTTTCGTTGAGATTTTTTGTTTTCATGTCCTGGCATTATGCTTTGTTGTTTTGATCCCTTCTATGATAAAAGATTCATTGGAAATTTTATGTTTAAGTGGGCTGATTTATGTACTTATATATGCGCTTTTAACATAAATGCTTGTATTTTTGTATCTCCTTTAAAGAATTTTCTTTCCTTCCTTCAACTCTGCCACGTGGACCTAAAATTCCCCAGATACATGGAAGAAATCCCATGTAGGTATCTTTTCTTCTAGTGTTCGCCCTGTGTTCCTTATATAGCACCTAACAAAAATCTCGTCTTGAGTTGTAAGTATCATTATTTTTTTCCAAGTGTCTTGTTGGGTTTCCAAACATCTTTTGTTTTGCGTCCGGAATGATTATGTTATGCATCTTTGTGGTATCATGGTGTTGGTAATAGTGAGGGACATCAGTATGGTTGAGGTGGTTGTAGTGATCAAACACATAATGTTGTTTGTTTCTCCTTTCTGTGTGGTGCTTTCTTTTTGTGGGGAGCCACCGCCGGGGGGTTTGTGTGGCAGGAGAATAGGAAGCGTTGAATTGGATATTTGGACTGATTACTTTCAGTAGTTGTGGACTGGATTATTATGTGCTATTATATGTTACTTCCTTGACAAGTACAGCCATTGAGTCACTCCAGAATTTGGTTGAGCATTGCCTATTGGTGCCTATGAGCTTGAAAAACAGTTGTTGAATCTATCTTAAACAGTTCCAGATATGTGCTTGATTGTTTTTAGTGACTATTATTGTTATTCTGCTTTCTTTAACCTTCTATGGTTTATGGGGATAGATTTTATGTCCATTTTATTTATTTTATTTGTTGATTCATGAATTATTGTTAATATCTTTCTGCTAGCATGATCAGGAACTACTTAAAATCTAGGAATTTCTGTTTTTGCTGGGTTTGAAATATTTCTTAATAGACAGTGGTAGCATATACATCCTTACTTTTTTTTTTAGTCATCCTCTTTTTTCTTTGTGTTTGACAATCCCCCATCTCTTGCATCCACCAAGTCTTTCTAATGTCTCTATTTATGTATATTCTATGATGGTGGAGCAATTGTAGGGTTGTCCTTATACTCTTGGAGCGAAGCGCAAGCCTCAATTTTTCTTTAAGAGAGTACGAGAAAATGATGTGAAAGCACTTTTTACAGAGAAAGTAGTTAACAAGATTGAAAGGGATATTGGGTGTAAAATCAAAATAGAGGAGAAATTTATCATTGTTAGTGGCAAGGACAGGTTGGTTTTGGCAAAAGGTGTGGATGTTGTTCATCAAATCCAAGAGGAGGGCACAAAGAAGGGTCCTTCTGGCTCTCACATGTCCAGATCCAGGTTCCCTGAGTATTGACTCTCAGGTTGGGACGCGCTGATTCCCAGAGGTCTAATTCCAGTCCACATAATAATGCATCAAAGTCCCAACAAAAAATTAGCAAACAAGAGAAGTTTGTGGAAGAGCGCGTCCATGAGGATTTGCGAAAGTTTTTGAAAGGATTTGCAACTATTTTTAGTCGTCATCAGTCTATAGTGTACGGTATGTGCAGACGCAGAACTGCTGGCCAGATGGATGCAATTTTTTCCTTTTTGTGTATATTATTAATTGCTAATATTACGTGTTATTACCACCGTTATAATGAATATTTTTTTGGTTGTTGGGAGCTAAAATGTTCAAACTGCAGCAAGGTTTGTAAACAGGATATGGTGCCCGATTGGGCGTCATTTCGTATACTACTTAGAAACTCAGTGGAAGTTAACGTGTGGCCTGTGAGCTACAAAGGGCAGGGTGCCAACTTGATTACCGTGAATTTTATAGCTGCTTTGAGAGTGGGTATGAGCTCTTAAATTCGAATCCTGTCATCCTTTTTTGTGAAAGGTGCTAACTTGATTAGGAGACTGTTACCTTGAATTTTTGATATTCTAGTAATCTATTCCCAGATTTTCGTGTTTTTGATTGAGTATTTAAATTAATTAAAGCCAAATTGAGGTTAAATTTTATAGATACTTGTACAATGTGCAATAGTTTTAAGTCCGAGGGGGTAACATGATATTTTTGCATTTTGTTAGGAGGAAAGTGCTACTGTATTAAAAAACCTTTGGTCAAGGAAAAATCTCTGGATTTGACACGTGACAGGTTCTATATCAACAAAGCTTTGGTTGTGTTTGATTGCGTGTTTAGACCAATTTTGTCGCTTTTTATGTCCCTGTCCCTAATGTCTGTTTGGATATATTCGCTGCATTGTTTGTACGTATAATTCATAAATGTCTCTGCCTCTATCTTTCCGCAGCTTCTTCGTTTCAGACCGCTGATCCATCGGTCGTCGAATCTAGGGTTTTTACAATTTCTCCGAGAAAGGTATTTCAATTGAAAAGTTTCTTTTTTGGGGGGTAAATATAAATATTTCAAATGGAAAAGTTACTTTCTTTGTTGTTTTTATAGTTAATACGTATCTTGGGTCATGTAGTTCTCGATCGAATACTTGATTATTTGAAATCTTGCCTTTTTGTCCTTCTCACATTTGTGTGTTTTTAATCTTTCGTTTTCGTTTGGTAATAATGATATATTTAAAGCTCCACTGTACTGTACCTGAATTTCTTTAGATGGAGAATATACTTCTGTTAATTTTCTTTCGGCTCTTGTGTATACTTATTTGCAGGAGCAGGATTATATTTGTTACTTCAAGTTTTGGGGCTCTTTCTGCGCTCAATATCTAGGTCTTCTTTTTCGGTAAATTGGAGGAGACTATTTATTTAAAATGGGGAAGGAGTATGGGAACAAGTTAAATTTCTTTATCGGTAAACTTTAACAGAGGTCTTTGGTTGTGTCCACTGTGATATGTTTATACGGGATAGTCCTGTTGATTAAGATACCGCACCTTGAACATCATTTTCACCTGTTCGCTTTGCAAGGAATTAGCAAAACAGATGAGGTTGTTTGCCTCGCAAGGTTCCTGCTGTGGATATCAGTTTAAACGAAATTTATATGCTGTTGTATTGGTAATTAGTTAGTGCAATATGTTGATTTCAAAGATTGAGCTTGTCAAAAGGTATTGTTGTTATGCCCAATAGAGATTGGTGGTAAAGGAGAGGTAGATGTAATTTGGATGGAATGGACTTTAACACTTCAAAAGAAAACGACTTTCTCGTTGATCTTGAGAGTGGTGGTGAGACAAGTTGCGAAGAGGAGATAAGCAATGAACCTGCTTTAGACAGCAGGCAAGCTGAGAATATGTTCACTAGCCTTTTTAGTGGGGTTTTGGGTTTTAATGGATCCGATAAGGGGGAATGTAGTGTGAGCTTGTATAGTAATTTGAGAAAGTCCAGTGACATTCCACGGGAGAATGTAAAATTGATAATAGACAGGAGTTCAAGAGGAGGACAGAGTGGCGAGCAAGTGCCTCTTGCAGAGCAGAAAATTGTGAAAGAGAAACGGAAAACAACAAACCCTAAAAAGGCTCACAAGCCACCACGACCTCCCAAAGGGCCATCTTTGGATGCCACTGACATAAAGTTCGTCAAAGAGATCTCTGAGCTTGCCATAAAGAAGCGTGCAAGGATTGAACGAATGAAATTATTGAAGAAGACTAAAGCAACCAAATCATCGTCATCATCGAACAGCGCCATATCTGCTATGGTCGTCACGCTTCTCTTCTGTCTTGTACTAATCTTCCAAGGTATAGTTGTGTTCTCGAGTTCAAAACTGACTTTCTTCTCCCCCTTTTTATGGTTTGTGATTTATTTGTACTTTTACCCTCTGGTATCAAAGGTTTTTTGCCTTTGCTTTGACATGTTAAGAAACATAGGTTCACACAAAGTAGTTGGGTTTTTTGTACTAAATATTGTGTTCATAAGAATTATAAACTACTATTACTAGTGGACTGCCAATTAGTATATTGGCTGCAATTTCACACCTCTGTTAGAACCTAGATCATCTTTTTCAGGGCCACTTTTGCTATACAGCTTACATCGATATGAAGTTATGAACCATCTAGTTCAAGCAAACTGAGGAGTGAATTCGTGTCACACAAAATTAATCCAACATACGCAAAATCTTGCCACCTTTGTGGGGAACAAAACAAGAGGAGGAAAAAAGCCGTTGCTAGGCTGTTCATACAAGCAAACTGAGGACAATTATAGACTGGGTAGTATACATCCAAATAAGAAGTTATGGTCTAGTTTTTAATTTCTTACATTTGCTGCTATATTACAAGCATGATTTGGATGTCTACATATATTGTTGGCCACCTATGAAGTACGGACACTCTCAAGAACGTAACGTATCCGTGTCGGACACGTATTGAACACTGACACTCTTCGAACACTCTCGGACACGTGTCCGATACTCTTTTATACGTGTCTATAATTAATTAATAAATTTTTAATTTCGAACACGTGTCGGACACTTCTTTGGTGACGTGTCCGACACTTCTTTGGTGACGTGTCCGACACTTCTTTAGAATGTTTTTACTATTAAACAATTGACATTTGTTGAAATGTGATTAATAAATCTTAAAAATTTGAGAAAATATAATTACTAATACTAGACATATTAAAGTTGTACTCTAAATATAATAATAAAAACAAAATATGCATAAAAAATTTAAAAAAGAGGAATTGAGAAAATTAGAGCAATTATTTAAATTATATATTAGGTACACATTGTCTACAAAAAAAAATTCATGATTATTGACTATAATGAGGATGTTTTAGTCTAAAAATTCATATAGATGACTAGACATTTGGTTTTCTTATCATAAAATACTGATTTTTTTATGAATTGTATATTATTATCACTATATCTGCAATAAATTATATAATGTTATATATAAAATATAATTTTTTTGTAGCGTACTCTCAACGTGTCCGTGTCCTATTTTTTTGATAAATGTTGTATCGGCGTATCCGTGTCGTGTTGTATCGTATCCATGTCCATGCTTCCTAGTTGGCCACAAGGGTATACTTATGTAAGATTGATTTTAGTATTTTGGAATGAGGGTGATCTCATAAACAGGGTGTGTTCATAGTTTTTGCAAAAAACAATATAGTCTTTAAATTTTTTGGTTCCCCGAGTACTCAAATGAGGCAACAGATACATAGGAATGATATTACTCAATCTGATCATTTGTTTTGTTCGTCTTTTTTTTAGCAAACATGATATTTGAACAAATTTGGAGATTCATACCATAGATTGTAGAACTAATTTGTTTTGTTTTACATGGGACTTCAAAGAATGTTTATCGCAAAGCTTCACATAAAGAAATGATTTGTCCCTTTTTGGTGGGTGGGTCGGTGGGGGTGGTTGATCTTCAAACACTACATTCCAAATAATGAATGCATTAAATTTGGATCTGGACATCTTTTTAAAATTTGTAGTGATCTTTGCATCTCTCTTGGATGCAAGTCAAATTCATTTTAAGGAAAGGTACCAAAAAAATCTTGAATAACATTTCAAGAATCATGTAGCTCGTTACTGCCTGTGGCAGTCAATGGTATCATATTCGTTATCGGAATATGGAATAATGTGCTTGTCTAAGCAATATGATGTTTTTGGGGTTGCTTATCCCAAGTTTTTTTTTTTATTTACTGAGTTGTTTGTTTCCTTTGCATTGTTATCAAAATCGTATGATTTGCGATTCGATTTAGGTCCCATTTGATTCGTATTTTACTATGGAATCATTTTTGGCTGAGAATAGTAAAAATCGTAAAATTTTATTATTTTTTTTAAACCGTATTTCTAGAAAAAATGATGTCATTTTGCTAGAGGAGACCTACCCCTAAATATAAAACTAGCGTATCTCTCTATATCTCTTGTTCGCGTCTCTGCTTGTCAAGCGATTGTTCAAGCGTATCCGAACATCATTCAGAGACGACGCCTCCTTCATTCCAGGTATGCTTCTTCTTTTTCAAAAACAATTATCAAACCCTAGCATACCCTAATTCTTCTCTTCTTCAATAAATGCTCTGTTTTTTATTTTTCATAAAAAAAAAATTCATCAAAAAATTATTTTTCAATCGAATGTGAAAAATGATTTTTTAAGATTACATGTTTGAATGAGAATGGAATTTTCCTAAGGTTACATGTTTGAATCAGTATGAACTTTTCCTATTTTAGTTTAACATTGTTAGGAAGACAATAACTATTTATTAGTTAAAAATCATGCATCTTTGATTGTGCCTATTTTGAGGGAACAATTTATTATGCATTAAAAAAAATTAAGGAGGTACAAACTTAAGTGTTGCTTTATAAGCGTCTTTTCATTTAGATGGCGTGATCATATCAACACCGTCAATTAATTATTTTTAAAATACAATAATGTTTAATATTTAATAGCTTGCCGATTTTAAATATGTACATGTTATTTTTTTTTTTATCATTGTTCGAATTTTGTGTTGATTTGATACGATTCTCGACTCTTAAATCTAGAATTTTGATCTCTGATACGAATCTAGATTTGATAACTATGTTCCCTTGTACTAAAATTGAGCTTCTTAATTTTTAGCTTAAAAGGAATGGTGATGTAAGCTAAGTACTTTAATGATTATGTTCGACATACACATCTTGATTCATTTCTATTTCATTGCTTGGCGCTTGTACCCCCTCTCTCTCTCTTATGTTGGTGTAGATACGTTATATGTAATGCTCACAAGGCTGCAACTAGCCAGTCCGAGTGGTCACTTCTGGTGTGTTGAAACTTGTCCTGGTAGCTCACAGGTTGTTGTGCTGTAGTCTGTTGTTGTTGGGTTCCTCTTGCTTTCCTTTTCCCAGTAGATTGGGCAAACACCAAAAAAAAAGAAAGAGTAATCTGGATCTGGACATCTTTTTCCAGGTGACTTGCTAATATTCCATGTGATGCCTGAAAAATGGAAAAAAGAAATGGAGGAAAAATTTGAAACACTTATACTCTTCAGACTTGGCTTGCAGGAATCTGCTCTAGAAACAGTTCAAGTGCGAGTTTCCAGGGGTCTCCACAACCAGCTGCTGTGACAAAGGGCTTGATATCAGTCCAGTTTTACAGTAATCTTTCGGCAAGTAATGACATTGGACCGAATTCTGAATCTCCTAAGTTTGTATTCTTTTTCTGTTATATTTTAAATCATGCTAGATTTCATCTCTTAAGTATTTGTAAAGTTTTGGATCTAAGGTGATTTACATGTTTGGTTTTCTATGATTCATCTTAATGCAGTTCTGTAGAAGAGTTTTCTGGTTCAGAATTCAGATCGCTGTGATGAGTTGCTGGAAAATGTGGGAAGTCACTGAAGGGAGTAAGTAAGAGTAAATACAATGTTTATGTGATTTAGATCTGTGGCATCAGACCAGTGAGTAGCTTATTGGTAACCATAATTCTTGTTTGGGTTTACAAATCAGTGGAGCATTGGTTGACAGTTTGTGGAAGTCCTCCCTCGCATGCTTTTCATTTCAGCTGACATGTTGCAATATGAAAGCCCTTTGTTCACTTTAAAAATTCACACATCAACCCTCCCCCCCCCAACCACCTCAGTAGTAATAAAAAAACAATTATTCAGAAAACATAGCTGCTGACATTCATTAATATTACTTATAGATAATGTGCTTCTTGTTGATAGTGTATCTTGTCTATATGGTCCAACTGAAGTACGTACATAACTTGTTTCCTCTGAAACGTACCAGCTAGCTAGAAATTCTTAGCACGCACGCATCTGTACAATTAGGAAGGTCAGATGGGTTCATTTCGATGCTGAAAACTCCCTCGTACATCGCAGTCCAGAATGTGAATTCTGCAAGAACAGGTACCGGCAAATAACCTTGCTGTTACTTTGCCTCCCAGTGATCACAGTCTGTGATCACTGGGAGGCAAAGGATTCACAGTGGCCTTTTTTTATTAAAATGAAGGGCAAATAAGAAATGTTGGTCGTGGGAATCTTGAATTCGTAGGCGTAGCTACGTCATCTGATTTGTTGACAGATTCTGTTACCTTTCTCTGAATGGAGAAAACTTTTATACGAAATCTGTTCTATTCCTTATCAACTGCAAAAAAAAATCGTTATCTTTCCTATCTTTGGGTGAACTCTCAAGTAGATTTTACTTTGTGGAAATAATGAAGTTCAGTATGTGATTTTCTTGCGACTTGCAGTTCTTTGCAACCTCACACAGAAATTTGACCAGACAAATTTCCTGTTACACATGGGATGGGATGCTTTCCCAAAGAAAAAACATGAAAGGCTACTACAGTGAGAGACTGGCGGCTAGCTTTGGACTCGTCAATTCGTTCCATTATTTGGGTTTCAATCCGGTTCATCACGACATTATGACCTTCATAAGGACATGAGATAGAATCCCATTCATAAAAAGTGAGGTAGGATAATCTCAAAGAAGGAAAAAAAAAAAAAAAAGTGTGACCTCAACCCAATTACAAATTATGAAAGTCTAATCGTGTGGTCTTGTTTTGTTCCAACTATTTTGAAAAAAAACAAGTGAGATATAGAGTATAATTCAATTGTAGTCTAATCTATTTAACACTTAAATGGCATGTTTGCTAGATGTGTCATATTCGATTTACCACAGATAACTTATAAAACTAGATTCAATTATAGAAGAACGCTTACAAACAAAATCTTCCTAGTATCAAAATTAAGTTGAAAAATTTCCCCTAGTCGTATAATAATTTATAAAATACTTATTAAGTAAAGAAAAATTTAGATATTTTTTCATACAATATTAGCTAAACAATTATGCTATGGTAATATTGAGTTGCTCGTATTTAATATCAACTTAATCCATTGGTAGGGGATTGTGCCATTTTTTGAGGTTTTTTATTAGTAAAAAAATAAATTATCTTAATCTGCTAACTTTGAAACTGTGTTATGATGCGGTGTTAAAATTTATCGCATTTAATAATTGTCATTAAATAAAATAAATTTCCAACTGCAAGGTTTTCTTTTAGGATAAACTTTGAAAATGGGATAAATAAAGTAATTGATTCGAGAAAGGTATCATCGCTCCTTGGCTCTCCTCCCTACATACTGGACTCTATAAATACAGAACTCACCGTACTGCACACACCTCCTTTTCTCTCATTTTAGGGTTTAGCCTACGACGAGAACCCAAAAAAAAAAAAAAAAACTCTCCGAAATAGCGTTTGACTTCGATTTATTTTGTATTCGAAGAACTTGGGGTCGAAGATTAGGGCTTAGAGATTTGATGGGTACGGAGAGAAAGAGGAAGGTGAGCTTGTTTGATGTGATGGATGATACCTCGGTGTCAGCAAAGATCGCCAAATCTAACGGCGGTTTCATTAACGGCAACAACAGCAGCATGATGCCGTTAATCAATACTTGGAATGGAAGGCCGTACTCGCAGAGGTATTATGAGATCTTGGAGAAGAGGAAGACTCTGCCTGTTTGGCACCAGAAAGATGAATTCCTGCAAGTCCTAAAAGCCAATCAAACCCTCATATTGGTTGGTGAAACTGGTAGTGGTAAAACTACTCAGGTCAGTTTAGATGACGATATGTATATGCTAATATAGTTATTGATTATTTGGTTTGCTTGGTTGCCCAGAACACAGAACAAGTTTTGGAACCTTTCTTTATTGACAAAACTCCTTCGACTGTAGATGTTTTGCTTATTTACTTACGTGGTTGGAAGATTCTGGATTTTCCTTGGATCTTCTTTTGTTGTCTTGCAAATATATGGACTAAAATGTTTCTCTTTTTTATGGTGTCTGATGTCTCACTACATATTTGGGTAGTTGTTGTAAATTAGTGAGAGTGACATAATTTTTGGAATCTGTCATCAGGCTTTCCTGTTTTGATTGAAATGATGGGCACTATCTTCTTGGAAGCTGGTTTCATCCTCTATTTTATTTGTTATGGGTCTGTTTTGTATGATGAATGAAAAAATTGGAAGGTAGGTAGGTAGGTCAAAAGTGTGGGAGAGGTACCCCTGGGAGAAATTAGTAGTCCTTTTGTTTGTCTGGTGCGTCAGAGTGACTTTGGAGGAAGGGTGCTTCAGTTTTTGAAAGAGAGGAATTCGATGGGCCTGGAGGGAAAGATTTTATGTGTCTCTGCCTCCCCCCTCTCCCTCTACCCCCTTCACTTGTTTTTCCTTTTATCTGCTGCATTCCTTCCACTCTTTTATCCAACTAGGACATGAGTCACTGCAGCTTTGCTTGCAACTTGATGGTGGTTTCAAGTTTACACGTAGCTTTAGTTTGTTGTATTTATTGTTTGTAATATTATGGTTTNAAAAAAAAAAAAAAAACTCTCCGAAATAGCGTTTGACTTCGATTTATTTTGTATTCGAAGAACTTGGGGTCGAAGATTAGGGCTTAGAGATTTGATGGGTACGGAGAGAAAGAGGAAGGTGAGCTTGTTTGATGTGATGGATGATACCTCGGTGTCAGCAAAGATCGCCAAATCTAACGGCGGTTTCATTAACGGCAACAACAGCAGCATGATGCCGTTAATCAATACTTGGAATGGAAGGCCGTACTCGCAGAGGTATTATGAGATCTTGGAGAAGAGGAAGACTCTGCCTGTTTGGCACCAGAAAGATGAATTCCTGCAAGTCCTAAAAGCCAATCAAACCCTCATATTGGTTGGTGAAACTGGTAGTGGTAAAACTACTCAGGTCAGTTTAGATGACGATATGTATATGCTAATATAGTTATTGATTATTTGGTTTGCTTGGTTGCCCAGAACACAGAACAAGTTTTGGAACCTTTCTTTATTGACAAAACTCCTTCGACTGTAGATGTTTTGCTTATTTACTTACGTGGTTGGAAGATTCTGGATTTTCCTTGGATCTTCTTTTGTTGTCTTGCAAATATATGGACTAAAATGTTTCTCTTTTTTATGGTGTCTGATGTCTCACTACATATTTGGGTAGTTGTTGTAAATTAGTGAGAGTGACATAATTTTTGGAATCTGTCATCAGGCTTTCCTGTTTTGATTGAAATGATGGGCACTATCTTCTTGGAAGCTGGTTTCATCCTCTATTTTATTTGTTATGGGTCTGTTTTGTATGATGAATGAAAAAATTGGAAGGTAGGTAGGTAGGTCAAAAGTGTGGGAGAGGTACCCCTGGGAGAAATTAGTAGTCCTTTTGTTTGTCTGGTGCGTCAGAGTGACTTTGGAGGAAGGGTGCTTCAGTTTTTGAAAGAGAGGAATTCGATGGGCCTGGAGGGAAAGATTTTATGTGTCTCTGCCTCCCCCCTCTCCCTCTACCCCCTTCACTTGTTTTTCCTTTTATCTGCTGCATTCCTTCCACTCTTTTATCCAACTAGGACATGAGTCACTGCAGCTTTGCTTGCAACTTGATGGTGGTTTCAAGTTTACACGTAGCTTTAGTTTGTTGTATTTATTGTTTGTAATATTATGGTTTTCCTGTGCATTGTATTACCAGTCCTTGGTTTATTGAATTGGAGAATTTCTTTTACCAAGTCTGCCCATTTAGTGCTTCAGTAATTGAGCGCACAACTGAAATATTGTCTGCTTGTGGACGCTGGAACTTTTGCTTGTGGAGCAAGATTTTTGAATTAGTTCATTTCTGGTGTACAGATCCCTCAGTTCGTTCTGGAAGCCATTGATGTTGAGGGACCTGATAAACGTAGGAAGTTCATGATTGCATGTACCCAGCCTCGAAGGGTGGCTGCAATGTCTGTTTCCCGTCGTGTAGCTGAAGAGATGGACGTGGCTATTGGGGAGGAAGTAGGTTATAGCATTCGTTTTGAGGACTGCAGTAGTGCAAGAACAGTTTTGAAGTAAGCCCGTTTCTTTATGCACAAATGATTTCTTGTGTTTATTCTTTCTAAATCACAGATTTGACTTGGAATGTGTCATAATGTAGTTAGTGTTTATCCTTGGCTCATTTGAGGGTGCAAATTTACTTGTATGCCTTTTGGCATCGTAGGTATTTGACAGATGGTATGCTTTTAAGAGAAGCAATGACAGATCCGCTTTTAGAACGTTACAAAGTGATAATTCTCGATGAAGCTCATGAAAGAACTTTGGCAACAGATGTTTTGTTTGGGCTTCTGAAGGAAGTATTGAAAAATAGACCTGATCTCAAGCTAGTTGTAATGAGTGCAACACTAGAGGCTGAAAAGTTTCAGGGTTATTTCAGTGGTGCACCTCTCATGAAGGTTCCCGGAAGGCTTCACCCTGTGGAGATTTTTTACACTCAAGATCCTGAGAGGGATTACCTTGAAGCAGCAATTCGAACTGTTGTGCAGATACACATGTGTGAACCTCCTGGTGACATACTTGTTTTTCTGACTGGAGAGGAGGAAATAGAAGATGCATGTCGCAAAATAATGAAAGAGGTTTCCAATTTGGGAGATCAGGTCGGGCCCGTAAAAGCAGTGCCTTTATACTCTACACTTCCTCCAGCTATGCAGCAGAAGATTTTCGATCCTGCTCCACCTCCACTGGTGGAGGGTGGTTCACCTGGAAGGAAGATTGTAGTGTCAACAAACATTGCAGAAACTTCTTTGACCATAGATGGCATAGTTTATGTCATTGACCCTGGGTTTGCCAAGCAGAAAGTTTATAACCCACGAGTGCGAGTTGAATCTTTGTTGGTTTCTCCAATATCGAAGGCTAGTGCACACCAAAGATCAGGGCGTGCTGGAAGGACTCAACCAGGCAAATGTTTTAGACTTTACACAGAGAGGAGTTTCAATAATGATCTTCAGCCGCAGACCTACCCAGAAATATTGCGATCAAACCTTGCAAATACTGTTCTCACTTTGAAGAAGCTAGGGATAGATGATCTGGTCCATTTTGATTTTATGGACCCTCCTGCCCCAGAAACGTTGATGCGAGCATTAGAGGTTTTGAATTACTTGGGAGCATTGGATGACGATGGAAACCTAACCAAGCTGGGTGAAATCATGAGCGAATTCCCCCTAGATCCCCAGATGGGGAAGATGCTTGTTGTCAGCCCAGAATTCAACTGTTCAAATGAAATTCTTTCTATGTCAGCAATGCTTTCAGGTATTGTAGTTTGTGATCTCTTTCTTCTCTCTGTCTTGAGTCTCATTTTAGTCTGTGTGGGAGTATATGTTTGTGGGCCGTGACGGTTGTGTAGTACTTCTCACAAAGTCATACCCCCATCACTTCTTGCATATGCAAAGGTTGGCACCTGTGCATATATGGTTATATACTTAACTGCATTATGTGTACACGAATGCATAGGTATGTAGTTAGGTATATGTGTCTGCTTAGGTTGTCATCAGCAACTGTCCTGTCTGGGTTCCATGCCCCCGGTTGGCATGTACCATAGAATTTCTAAGTAAGTGCTGATGCAGATAGTTGCAGTTTCTCAGTATTCTCTCATGAAGCAAATGGTGTCGTCTCGCCTCTGTGCATCTGCTGACCTACCATGGGCCTCCTCTGTGATTACCAATTTTTTCTCTAGTACCCAATTGCTTTGTCCGGCCTAGGGAGGCTCAAAAAGCTGCGGATGAAGCGAAAGCTCGGTTTGGTCACATTGACGGGGATCACCTCACACTCTTGAATGTGTACCATGCATACAAGCAAAATAGTAAGTACTTAAATCCATTCTCTTTTTCACCTTGTTTCTTGATTTAGGGAATTGTTAAGACTGCTTTCCATTTAATTTGGTTCTGATAATCTTTGTTATCTGTGTACTGTGTATTGGTTACAGATGAAGATCAACAGTGGTGTTACGAAAATTTTGTCAATCATAGGGCACTTAAAGCTGCGGATAATGTGAGGCAGCAGCTAACTCGCATTATGGGCAGGTTTAACCTGAAGCTATGCAGCACAGATTTTAACAGTCGTGAGTACTACATCAACATCAGAAAGGCTATGTTAGCTGGATATTTCATGCAAGTGGCTCATTTGGAGCGCACTGGGCACTATTTGACAGTGAAAGATAATCAGGTACGTAACATACTCAAAAAAAGAGGGTAGGGCATGAAGATATTCTACCCACTTATTTTAAGCTATTGGGAACTCTGTTTAATCTCTCAGAGGAGATAAGTACTCTATTCAATCTCCATCAATTTCTTCAAATATATGATTCTGGTTGGTATATGCAGGTAGTGCACTTGCATCCTTCAAATTGCCTGGACCACAAGCCGGAGTGGGTCATTTACAATGAGTATGTCTTAACAAGCAGGAATTTTATCCGTACAGTAACCGACGTTCGTGGTGAATGGTCAGTTTCTCTCAATTTATGCTATTTAACTGCCATGCTGTTGTCTCTGGTGTGTCTGTGTAGTGTTTTTTCTTGTACCTTTTTTTTATGAAAAAAAGTGGTTGGAAAGTAGGTCCTTCTTGCCCACCATTCTCACTCCCGCTTTTGAGAGGAAAACTGCAGAAAAAAGTTCAGAAGTGGGGTTGGTATTATGCCCTTCAGATTTTCATATCTTTCAAAGCATGTTCGTTGTATATTATATGTGTGTGACCAAACCTCTAATGGTGTCGGGTGTCATCATCTTTGATTTAAGTTGCCACCCAAGTATATTCTTTAAGTTGTATTCTTCTATTATTTTCCAATCTGCATCATTGAAACTGAAGCAATATAAATTGAAAAGATATAAAAAAAAAATCCATGCCGGCAAACTCATAGGTGCACTATGGTAAAATTAAAAAATGATGTTTTCCTTCCTCTCCTTCCTCTTATCAAATATAACAATGGAAAATTCATCTNGTGCATCTGCTGACCTACCATGGGCCTCCTCTGTGATTACCAATTTTTTCTCTAGTACCCAATTGCTTTGTCCGGCCTAGGGAGGCTCAAAAAGCTGCGGATGAAGCGAAAGCTCGGTTTGGTCACATTGACGGGGATCACCTCACACTCTTGAATGTGTACCATGCATACAAGCAAAATAGTAAGTACTTAAATCCATTCTCTTTTTCACCTTGTTTCTTGATTTAGGGAATTGTTAAGACTGCTTTCCATTTAATTTGGTTCTGATAATCTTTGTTATCTGTGTACTGTGTATTGGTTACAGATGAAGATCAACAGTGGTGTTACGAAAATTTTGTCAATCATAGGGCACTTAAAGCTGCGGATAATGTGAGGCAGCAGCTAACTCGCATTATGGGCAGGTTTAACCTGAAGCTATGCAGCACAGATTTTAACAGTCGTGAGTACTACATCAACATCAGAAAGGCTATGTTAGCTGGATATTTCATGCAAGTGGCTCATTTGGAGCGCACTGGGCACTATTTGACAGTGAAAGATAATCAGGTACGTAACATACTCAAAAAAAGAGGGTAGGGCATGAAGATATTCTACCCACTTATTTTAAGCTATTGGGAACTCTGTTTAATCTCTCAGAGGAGATAAGTACTCTATTCAATCTCCATCAATTTCTTCAAATATATGATTCTGGTTGGTATATGCAGGTAGTGCACTTGCATCCTTCAAATTGCCTGGACCACAAGCCGGAGTGGGTCATTTACAATGAGTATGTCTTAACAAGCAGGAATTTTATCCGTACAGTAACCGACGTTCGTGGTGAATGGTCAGTTTCTCTCAATTTATGCTATTTAACTGCCATGCTGTTGTCTCTGGTGTGTCTGTGTAGTGTTTTTTCTTGTACCTTTTTTTTATGAAAAAAAGTGGTTGGAAAGTAGGTCCTTCTTGCCCACCATTCTCACTCCCGCTTTTGAGAGGAAAACTGCAGAAAAAAGTTCAGAAGTGGGGTTGGTATTATGCCCTTCAGATTTTCATATCTTTCAAAGCATGTTCGTTGTATATTATATGTGTGTGACCAAACCTCTAATGGTGTCGGGTGTCATCATCTTTGATTTAAGTTGCCACCCAAGTATATTCTTTAAGTTGTATTCTTCTATTATTTTCCAATCTGCATCATTGAAACTGAAGCAATATAAATTGAAAAGATATAAAAAAAAAATCCATGCCGGCAAACTCATAGGTGCACTATGGTAAAATTAAAAAATGATGTTTTCCTTCCTCTCCTTCCTCTTATCAAATATAACAATGGAAAATTCATCTCTCTCATTTTCCATTCCTCATACCTATGAAATCAGAGGAAAAAAGGATTTCTTTCCTTCATTGGAAATTTCATTCGTCTCTCTCTTCCTTCCTTACCTCTTTCCATCACTTCTGTTTGGCATAAATGGACAATTAATATAGAGGCAAATCCTAGTGAGGAAATGAAAGTTGCTGAACCTAGTATACTGGTATAACTTTCGAGACAACAGCTTTGTTTCGTGGATCTCTTCTTGACTTGGGAACTCATCTGTCTTCTGACCATTATAGTTATGTCCAGTGACTCGAGTCTTTATTTTTGACTTGTGTGAAAGGCAAAATTCTGAGATCTGCAATATGGGTTTGCATATGTTAGTTTTTTGTTTTTCTGAAGTTGCATTTGGAGCTGTTCAAAAAATTAAAAAAAAAAAGTGGCATTTGGAGAATATAATTGGTATATGTCGGCCTTTGTTTTTTCATTGTTTGGTTAGATGACCTGTAGAACTGTCAAGTCCATGTTGTTTCTCGAGTAAGCCGTGGGATCTCGATATATGTATATCAATTCTATTGAACATTTCTTCATATGACCGCTGTGTGTTGTAATATAGCTCTTTTGTGGAATGTGGGGATTGAATTTTTCTGCTTGTCTGCAAATTATTTATGAGTAATGTTATATGGACTTAAAAAATAGACTTGATAATTACAGTCATTAAATAGGTAGTGAGTATCAATAAATGCTCCTAGTAAAATCAATAGTTGTAATTATCAGGTTACTTTTTAAGTCCATATAGCATTGCTCATTATTTATTCTTGGGAAATATTTGTCACACATAATGGGGCTTTTGGTGTTAGAAATCTCTTCATCTTGCTGTTTAAATAATTTATTTATTGCTTAAAGTTCAATCAATGGCTGGTTATGGATTCCCAAAAGTGAGCTTTTGAATTATTCCCCCCCACCCCACAAAACAAAAAAAAAAAAAATTAAAACCTAAAGAAAAAAAATACAAATATTGTTGAATAAATGAAATGGAGTTGTTTAGCAATAAGTTTCTATGAGGTTATACTTAATTGGAATTAGTGTGGTAGATGATCTATGGTTCAGAGCAAGATTATTTTTGTCTGGAATTAGTGTGGTGTTCGACATGGTTGATTAATGTTATGCTAACTGTTTGCTCTTTTCTTGCCCCGTCTTTGGTTGTCTTGGATATTGGGGCGGTTCAGGTTGGTTGATGTAGCGCCTCACTACTATGATCTTGAGAACTTCCCTCAATGTGAGGCAAAGTGTGTTCTTGAGAAGCTTTATAAGAAGCGTGAGAGAGAAAGGGAGGAGAGCAAGAACAGAAAGTGAGATGTGGACATATACAGAGCCCTAATGTTTGTACCAGCAATGCCTCGCAATAGCACTGTAGCGGAAGAACTGGCATAATTTTTGTACTATTTAAGAATATAGTTTAGCTTGAATACTGTTGTTTCTCTGATATTTATTGTCCAGATGTTTCGACTTTTACCTAGAGTCCAAATGTAGATGCAGAATGGCTATGTTCTCTCTCTCTCTCTCTCGTGCTTATCTATAAAGATGGTTCGTAACGATATGTTCTTACTGACCTTCAAAAGCTGCATGTTGGTGATGAACGTGAGTCTAGCTTAATATAGATTGAACCTGGCAAACCGTAAGCGTGCAATTGCCCTCCCAAATCTCAATGGCATTCTCATATTCGGAAAATATCTACAGAAAGTGTAGGACTCGTTTCAGATTACAACAAAAGAGGACTCACAAGTCACACCAGCTACGTGCCTTTTGTTTTTTAGCACGTCTTTCTTTCATCATCTTTGTTAGCTCAACAACACTGCTCCAGGTTCCCTTTTCACCATGTATCTTCGATAACATCAAATAAACAGCAGGATGATTTTTTTGTAATTTGTAAATTCCCTCTGCTGCAAACCTACCTAGTTCAAGACATGAATGCAACCCACAGGCTCCGAGCAATGCACCCCAGACAAATACATCAGGCTCTAAAGGCATCCCTTTGATCAATTTTTCTGCTTTCTCTAGCAGACCTGCCCTCCCATAGAGATCCACCATACAAGCATAATGCTCCATCTCTGGTTGGACACAGTACGTCATCTCCATAGAGTTGAAATGCCTTTCACCTTCTTCAACCAATCCTCCATGTCCACAGGCTGACAACAGATTAATGAATGTAATTTGATCAGGTCTAACACCGCCCTTTATCATTGTCTCAAACCCATTTAATGCTTTTGTTGCAAGCCCATGCCTTGCATAACCGCCAATAATCGAATTCCATGACACCAAGTTCTTCTGCTGCATCGACTGAAAAATGGAGGATGCCGCTTCTATGTCTCCACATTTCGCATACATCTCAACAAGTGAGGTTGACAAGATAACATCAAGTGGTATACCAGACTTAACAAGGCAAGAGTGAACTTGATGGCCCACGAAAAGAGAAGAACAACCCGCACAAGCATCGCACACACTTGCCAATGTAAAATGATTAGGACGCGTACCTGAACTTAACATCAAGACAAACAATTCCAAAGCATCGACAAACTTGCCGTATTGTACGTACCCTTTTATCATTGCAGTCCATGAAATCACATTTCTTGTGTTCATCTTATAGAAAACAGTCTCAGCTTCATTAAGATTCTTATTCTTAATATACCCATTAAACAGCGAAGTCCAAGAAACTATATTCTTCTCCGGAATCATGTCGAAAGCCCTCTGAGCCTCAGTTGCTAACCCCAAATCCATGAAACTCAAAATCAACGCATTCCATGATGTGACATCTTTTATGATGATGTCTTCAAACACCTGACAAAAACTTTTGCGATCCCACAAATCACTGTAACCCCTTATCAATGCAGACCCTACAAACACACAGAGATTAAGGGCTAGACGAATTATATGACCATGGAGCTGTGGGATTAACATATTGAACGAGGGGTTCAAGAACGCCGTAATCACCATTGAGAAAGTGAACTCATTGGGTCTTTGACCAGCTCTACTCATCTCTAGAAAACACTGAAAGACTTTTTCTGGGCTTTTGTTGTCGTGTAAACCAGATAGCATGGTGTTCCATGAAACGACGTCCCTATAGGGCATTTGATCAAACAGGACTTGAGCGTGTACCAATTGGCTATTTCTAAGGTACCCTGATATGAGCGAATTCCAGGAAACGACATTCCGGGATGTGGGATTTTGATCGAACAGTTTGCGAGCATTGTTTAAATTCCCGTTACGAATATAACCCATAATTGTCTTGTTCAGATTGGCCGATGGTAAAGTACAAATTTGGCGGAAAATGGAAAGGAGGGGCCTGTCTGATGTGCGCATGCTGCGCAGTGACGCTCATGGCGTGGGCAAGAGACCAAATGGTGTTTATATGCCGGAGATGTGGACACCGTTCAACTGACAAGAAAGTATTTTACTACTTCACATTCAATTGACATAAGGCCTACAAGTTCTTTTTTGTGGTCCCATAAAAAGTTTGGACGACAGAATTACCTGAGACATGTACTTAGCACAGCGTTTGCATGTTCTAACACCGTTCTGACAATTGGTTTTAGTTTCCGCATACACCCCCAACGAAATAGCATGACGGAAAGGAGCCCACAAATGGTAGTGCCAATTTAGGGAAGTAATCTTCTATAAAGGACCATCCCGAACCTTCTAGAAGTAATTGGTATGTCTTGTTTCAAATCTTTACATTTATAGGGACGATCCAGAAACTTCATACAAGTGATTGATTGAACATGGATCGAGACTTTCTTGAGTTGAATTGAATACCAATAGAAACTTTGGCATCTGTGTTGTGGGCTTTACTTTGGCTGCCAGAGTAATGAACTCTCGATCTCATGCTTTATCGACCTACCTCAATAAATATGAATACATGGACAAGAAATTCACATGAGAAGCTCCATCTCTCTGGGTACTTGGCATCAACGTTCATGCTCTGATCCAGGAGATAGTCAACTAACTACCTAGAGGAATGCTCACACTAGTATGTAATGCTTATATTCTTTGACTTGAACATACTAATGGACGGATTTGAAAATGAATAAAGGCAACAAGAAGAAGGCAGCTGGTGAGATGCAAATTCACAGGACAATTGAGCAACTAAACAACAAATATCACTAGCAACACAAAAGTGATGACTGAAAACAAACACGTAAATTAATTATTTGTTTAGTACGATAGATTAAAAAATAAAAAGATGGCAAATAAAAATGATATATTTTAAATCTTTCAAGAAAATTATCATTCCTTTGTATTAGGTAAGTGGAATGAAAAGTTAAATTTTTTTTTTTTTTTTTTTGTGTTTGGTAAGATGAAAAAGTGAACTAATAAATAAAATATAGATATATATTTTATTATTATATTTATCTATGAAATTAATATATACCTAATATGTAATAGATAAATATAATATCTATATAATAAATCAGATAGGTGTTAAAATTTATGGGGGACATATTCCCCCCCCCCTCTTCCTCCAAATTTCAAAAACTCAATATACACATTCCATAATACAAAATTACACATACATATACACGTTCCAATGCATACACAGTGTAATAATTTAATGTACAATGACTTTAGTCACGGAATATCGCTAGTATACATATATTAAAGGATATATGTGTGTGTATAAATAGTATACATTTCAAAATATATAATTACATTTTTACCCACTTTTTCCCCCATTTTTGGAGAAATCAATTTTGGTGAATTGAAATTTGAAAAGAAAATTAATGTATCAACTTTTTCATCATTCATAATTTTTCTTTCTTACCAAACATGATATTTTATCTACCCCTCCAACTTTCCATCCTTCCAAAATCCAAATTTCTATCTTTCCATTTTTTTTTATCATATCAAACAAAACATAATACTGAATCAAGTTGAAGCAGGTGGTATAGAAGTATCTTACTGAAGGATTAAACAGTAGAAGAAGGCCCAAGAACATAATTATCCTCAATTGACACACAAAAAAAAAAAAAAAAAAAGCTTTTCCATATTACTCTGCACGATTGTTAAGTACAATAATGAAATAAATTTCTCACCAACACGGATTCTTTTGAGATCAAGATGAAAAGCAGAGATACAATGGCGAGACAGGCACTGTAGAACTATTTCTGCAAGGAGAGGCCAAAAAAAATGTCCCAAGCTTACGAACATAGCAATGATATCTGAACTATAACCACCTGATTTATAAACAAACTAAACAGATGATGTAGAGATGTTGCATATCAAAATAATCTCAATATGGAGAAACTTCCCCAACATAGAAAGGAGTCTCCTGCATTTAACATAATAATTAAAATAAGAAGGGTCAACAGCCACATAGAATACACCAAGTCACTAACCATTACAACAGCCCAAGTAGTTCAGTTGGTAACACCACATGAAGTTTGCAAGCACTAAAACACCGTTCTTGTTGAAAAATACAACAGCTATATCAATCCAATTAGTTCAACAGTACCATCTTCAATAATTCTTCGGTCACTTGCCTCGAAACAAATTGAATGGGATTCCCCCAAATTTCATTTTCATAAGGTAAGGCCCTACGTCCAGGTTTCAAACCTCAAGCACAAGTTGTAATCACTATGGAAGGCTTATGTCACACAAGTAAATAAGGATCAGCCACCATGCGGACCTCATGCCCTCAACTTAAAGATCATTACTGTAGTCCTTGTCTATGAAATTCTTGAAACTAATTTTTGGTGCAGAAAAGTACAAAAAGGAAGTGGGGAAAAAATAGAACCTAAAGTGCTTAAGCGCCGAAAACTTGAGCAATAAAAAACTAGGTACGTAGTTAATTTAAAATCAACCACCCACAAACTGAAGTAGCTATTCATCCATTTGGAATCAATATAACTTTCACTTATTGACCTTTCTTCAGCTTCTCCCAATAGAGCTCAAATATGACCATCAATCATAAGCTAGGACAAAGACATTAGTCGAAATTCACCATGAATGGTCAGTTGAGAAAATGAAGCAAACAGTTGATGTCTCTGCTCTCGTCAAATTATGGTCCTTCAAATCAGGTTATATTTGTCCACTTCATTCCTCAGCTTCTTTAATATCCATAAACATGCAAAACTGTTTCATTTTTCTTTCTTTTTTTTCGGTTCAACGGTAAAAGGTGTTCCGGCCAGACTTTGGCGCAGCTCGATCTGGTCGAAGAACGTCATCCATGTCGGGACTAGGTATCATAAAAGATATCCAATAAACATGCAAAACCGTATCATTAACAAGCCATGTTTATTCAATGTTTAGTTAGCAATAGTGGGCCAGGCTTATTAAGTTATCACATACAACTAGAGCAAAAAAATAGAAATAAATGAAGTGCATATTGAATCAATAGCACTGAATAAAAAATTGACACTCCATTTGGTGATCATGGAGAAAATGCACATCAACAATAAGAATCTACAAAGCCCAACGGAAGTCAGAGTAATTCAACCATTAACCTAAGTTCAGATAAGCTCCTCTTTCTCTGAAATTGAGGCAGATCAGGCACCAATACAACAAACATAGAAATAGTTATAGACAAAGAAGGGTCTGAGAATGCACAACACCACAAGAAATTGAAGATTCAAGCGTACATTATTATATCACTGTACGGGAATGGGACCCATAAACAGTGACAAGCGTCACAAACCTGAGTTTAGGACGGTGGTGGTGGTTCTTGGTGTTCTAGTGGTGGTTCTTGATGTTCTAGTGGTGGTTCTTGGAAAGGAGGGACCCAGTTGCCGTGAACCCACTCGCGATGCAACCTAAGGTCAGAATCTTGAAATTCAATCTGCTCTCGAGAACTCCTGAAGAACACCGAGTACCTGGTAGAGCTCCCTTCCAAGACATGAGTAACCACACCCTCCCACCAACCATCGTTGTGGAAAGCATCGACCTCTTCGCTAAGCTTGAAACTCCGCTTCGGCTCCCGAGGCGGCACTGGTCGAACCAGAATGATATCGATGAACTCCCTCAGAGGTTTAGTCCCCTTATCATCGGCCATGAGGTTGTGAAACTCCAAGAAAATCTTCTTGTTCTTCTTGGAAACCGTTCGAAGAACAGTGGCGGAGTACCATGAGCCTCGAAAACCCTCGTCCTCGAAGCTCACTTCCACCACCGCCCCTTTCTTGAATGGATCTTCCGGTTCCAGCTCCTCAGCCATGCCTCTAGAGAGAGAGAGAGAGAGAGAATGTTGTTCGCTTGTAAACGTAGAGAGAGACAGTAGAAAGGGAAACAAGGGATAGACGGTGGTCGGAATTGTGTGATTTGTTTATACTCTCTCTCTCCCTCTATGCTATTCCAACTAATTTATTGAATTAGTTATAACAATAATGTTACATTAATCAAATTTTCGGATTAAATAATATGACAGCATAGCATATGATTTAGAGTCTTATTTATAATTTATGATAAAAAATTAATTATATGTATTAAAATATATATTATTTGTTTATATATCCTTTATATAACATAATTATCAATTACATGTTTTATATTCATTAATTTCATATATAAAATTACATACTATTTGTATTTCGTAAGTAAAAAAGATGAAAAGTAAGAAACATTAATTCTTTTTATGTTTAGTAAAATAGAAAAAATGTTTTTTTTATTTTTATTTTTTGAAAAAATATAAAAACATATTTTGTCATTATTGAATAACATTTCAGTTATCCTGTCGGTACAGTAGATTTATCCAAATGACAAAATAAATACTTATTTTCGATTGCAATTATATATATATATATATGATAAAGTCATTACACCTTCCTCCATTGACATCATTTTAAAAAAATAGAAAGTGTGGGGGAGGACGAAATAAATAAACAAAACCATACTCCAATTACAAATCCAAGGTCTTAAATTTATATAAGTTTTATTGTCATTTGAAACCAAAAATAGAAAGAGTGGAACAAAACTACAAGCACTTTCCTCTGCCTCAAGTATTAGGTAAGCTTCAGAAACCAACCATGCACTCTCTAATTCTCTCTCTCTCTCTATATATATATATATATACACATAGTGTCCCATCCCATGACAAATATTAGGCAGTAAAGTAAATTACCAACAGTTGAGAAATAGATTTCAAGCACCGGTGTGCCTGCCTGCCTGCTTGTCTATCAAATTCACACAACTCAACAAAGTCTTATCATAAGAAAAATAATTTTACTACAACACAATACGACCAAGAGATTTATCAGCGAGCACCAGTGTGTGAGCGTGCCCGCCTGTCCGTCTGTCATATTCACGCAACTCAACAAATTCTTGTCATAAGAACAATAATTTTACTACAACACAACCAAAAGATTTATCAGTTTGGATGGCCACATGCATTTCAGCCAACCTAGCCTCACCTCACCACACCCCC